ACGAGCCCTTTCAAGCAGGTAGGAGATCCAATATTAATGAAAACCCAATAATTGCAGCGATCTGGGGACGTCCATTGCTTAAATTTCAACTTTCAATAATGGAAAGGTCGCCCTAACCTAGAATGTGTGCATGAACATTAAAGGGGCAATAATCGTGATAGTACGTCCTTCTATTTATTGTAATACTTATCTACTTTGACTTCCATCTTCTCTCATGTAGAATATATAGCACCATCTCCAAGTAAACCTATTGCCATTATTCTCATTAATTAGCGTTTTATAATTCCTTAATATCCACCTTCAAGATTAATATCCACCTTCAAGATCCCAAAATTAACATCATCTAGTCAAAGATCCATCACGATTCAGTGTTGCTGGATAGGGCTGGTGGCCTTCTCTGTATGCGCGAAGACCGTAGATATTAAAAGGGTGTTTAGATGAGAGGTGTGGTTAGGTTTTTTTTAAAAGCTATCATACTTTTTACTAAAAATATATATTTTTTATTTTTAAAAAATATAGTATATATTTTAAAAGGTTAGTATCTTAAAAAAAAAACTTACCACACCTTACACACAAACACTCTCTAAGCATGGTGCAGCACTGGCTTCTTTTAACAGTGAAAAATTAAATAAATTCTCTATCAATATATCTAAACCTAAAAATTTAAGGAATAAGGCAATCCTGAGGAATAAGTCAATCCATTAAAGTTGTTAACCACTTTCCAAAAAGACAAACCAAAAAAAAAAATTAAACTATTTTTTTCCGTATAACTAATTTTTTTTACAAAGAACTTAACTAATAATTATTGTTTTGTTGAGTTGTTCAATTTGTTCTCGATTGCCTTGTTTTCATATTTAAATAGAAAAATTTAAGATAATTTTCAGTAATTATTCTCTTATCTTATTCTATGTAACTTCTGGCAACTAGCTATTCATTTCTTGTTTTAAGGCTTTTATACAATGTAGACTTTTTATATCTTTCATTCATCATTCATGTTTAAGTGATAAAACCCAGTCTGTAATTAAGTTTTACATGTTCTTCCTGATCGTAGTTCATAACTCTTTGATCAATTTTAGTGTATAATAGGAAGCTAAGCTAATTTATATATATGTGAATCTTCTTCTCGTATTATATATATAATTTTATAAAGAATGCTGCAGCAGCAGCAATAATAATATAATTGATGTAAATGTGAAAAAAAGAGGATTAATTAGAAAGATTGTTCGTTAAATTTTATTTTAAATAAAAAATATAAAAGATGCTAATGATCCCAACCAAACAAAAAAAAAATCCTACTAAAGGCTGTTAATTGATAGCTATTTGAGGTAAAATCAATAAAATCTTGTACTTGAAAAATTGAAAATTAAATTTAGGTAAAAGCCGTAGTTTAACCCCTTCTTATTATCAATTATTCGATCCCCTCCTTTTTGTTAAAAAAATAGTCAATTTTCATTCTTTGTTGTCTCTTTTATTTAAAAACAAATGTTCAATTTTTAATTTTTTTTTGTTATTTATTTTTAAAATTATTGTAGTTGTTTGGATGAGTTTATGCACACCTTGATTAATCTTATAAGCTCTAAAATTAACAATTATATAAGTTTTCAGTAATCTTAAAATTTATAAAATTCAAACTATTTATTTTTTAAAAATAAATTTAAAACATCACAGGTTATTCAGCTATATTTTCAGTTATTATTCTCAACGGTGATGGCATGAATTTCAAAGATTCATATATGTTTTATATATTGCAAATTAAAAAATACAAGTGGAGAGGCATGTCACTACAAAGACATGACACTTCATATCAGTCTCTTCAATTAAAATTATATGTTGATAGGAGTGTTTAGAAATGTGATTTTTTTTGTTTAAAAATGTGATTAAAACTATATTTTTTTAAAGTCTGAAATTGTTTTGTTATTTTTTTATATTTAAATAATTTTGATAAATTGATGTTAAAAATAATTTTTAAAAAAATATTATTATAATATAACATATATTTCAGGCAATCACATTATTTATTATTCAAAGACTGCTTTGTTTGAAGTGCATTGACTAGCTAGCTCATTGTGCAAATTATCCTATTTGATTGAATAGGAACTTTCCTGGTTAACTTAAGAAAATAATCATAATTAAATACTCTTCTCCAAAACCATCACTTAAAATTTCAATAGATGTGTTTTTTTTTTGGTATAAGGGTTTATTAGTTTTTTTTCTAAACTATGCATCAATTTAATGCATTCTTTTTTAATTAAAAATAGTTTTTTTAAAAAAAATATTAATCTTAAAAGATAACAAGGAGAAGAAGAAAACCACAGTGATCATCTGTTGTCTTCTTCGAGTTTAGAATTTTTGTGTACTTTGCTTACATTTTTTATCATGGTACAGGCTTCACTATCTTCGGTTCTTTCGAAGAACTTAATTTGACACAAAATATAGTCAAATCAATAGTATAACATCATATGCATTCACTATTCAATTCTAGATCAATTTGACAGTTGAAAAACCTTCCATGGCTGTTTGGTTCAAGCAGTCTTCCTAGGCGTGGTGTCTCTGCAAAAAAGCAATAACGATATAAAGAACAGATAGGAAAAAGAGTTCGATCTTTCAATGTATTTATGTCGTTAGTTATTTTTCTTTTATGGGAGATATTTTTTCTTCATAAAATTTTAAAAAAAAATTAAGCTAATTCATCTTTTTTATTTTCCTAAGAACTCGTTATTCATCCTTACTTGCCCACGCATGCAACGCTTGGGTAAAGGGCAGAGTTGGCTATAAATACATAAGAACATACTTCAAAACACATACTCAACAATTGCATGTCAGCTAGATTTCTCTAAGCGGCCACCATGATCGCCATCCAATATGTCCTTGCCATCTTTGTACTATGGGTTATCACAGTCTTTCTTCAATTCATCTTCAAGAGGCCCGGCAAGAAACCTGCCGGTTATTGCCCCCCTCCAACCCCACCCACACTTCCTTTGATCGGCCACCTCCATTTATTGACCCCAGTAGCATACAAAGGATTCCATGCTCTCAACAATAAATATGGCCCTCTCCTCTATCTCCGTTTGGCCACATATCCTGCTGTTCTTGTCTCATCCGCTCCACTAGCCACGGAAATCTTCAAAGCACTAGATGTCCATTTTACCTCTAGAATAAAATCCCCTTTTGGGGATAGTTTACTATTCGGAAGCTCAACAAGCTTTTTCAATGCCCCGTATGGGGATTACTGGAAATTCATGAAGAAAATTTGTACGAAAGAGTTGTTGGGGACCAGTCAGATGAAGAAGTTAAAGAATGTAAGACGCGAAGAAGTTGTGAGGTTTTTGAGTAAAATGTTGGAGATAGGTCAAAAAAATGAGGTTGCAAATGTGAGTGCTGAGGTATTAACACTAGCAAACAATAGTACTTGCAGGATGATTATGAGTGCTAGGTGTTCAGGGGAAGATAATCAGGCTGAGAAGTGTAGAGGGCTGGTGAGTGAATCCTTTGATCTGGCTGCAAAGCTTGCTTTATTTAACGTGTTTGGTCCCTTGAAAAGGATAGGTACTTGGTACTTAAGAAAGAAAATTGCCGACGTGCCCAAGAGGTATGATGAATTGTTTGAAAACGTCTTGGTAGAGCATGAGGAGAAAGCGAAGAGAGAAGGTCCTCACATGGAGAAAAAAGACTTGATGGATATTCTTTTGGAAGTGTATCATGATAAAAATGCTGAAATAAGGATAACCAGGAAGCAAATGAAGAATTTCTTTCTGGTAATTAGGAAGCAAATGAAGAATGCTGAAATAAGGATAACCAGGAAGCAAATGAAGAATTTCTTTCTGGTAATTCTTTGCCATCCCGTATTAGTTAATCTCTCTTTCAAGATGATCAGTACTTTCTTTCTTTTAATTATACTTGGAATGAATTGTCAAAATTTAATTAATCTTATTTATTAAACATCCTTTTTAATTTCCGCTCTTTTGTTTCTCTCTCTCTCCCAGGATCTTTTCACAGGAGGTACCAATACTACATCAGATGCCATACTGTGGATCTTAGCAGAGCTTGTCAACCATCCTGCCGCGTTCAAGAAGCTGAGGGAGGAGATAGATTCAGCTGTTGGGACAGAGAGACTTGTGGATGAAGAAGATATCCCAAACCTGCCTTATTTTCAAGCGTGTGTTAAGGAAGCAATGAGGCTAAATCCACCAGTGCCTTTGTTTGATAGAATATGCGGTGAAAATTGCAAAGTTGGAGGATATGATATACCCAAAGGAATCACAATGATAATGAACGCATACTCTATTATGAGGGATCCAAAGATATGGGAAAACCCCAACGATTTTATTCCAGAGAGGTTCTTGACTGAACAGGACAACGCCAAGGGGCAAAACTTACAGGTTTACGTCCCTTTTGGTGGAGGAAGGAGAATGTGCCCTGGGACCAACATGACCTCAAGTTTGATTAATTGTAGTGTTACAGCTATGGTTCAGTGTTTTGATTGGAAAGTTCTCGGTGGAGATGGACCAGATGGATCGAAGGTTAACATGGACTCCAAATCAGGCGTGGTAAAGGCCATGGCTAAACCATTCATGGCCATTCCTACTCTCCACCGTAACCCAGGACCATGGCTAAACCATTCATGGCCATTCCTACTCTCCACCGTAACCTATTTTCTGCTTAAAACCCAGTCAAAACATTTGTTCTTCTTAAGTTCTAATTCTAAGTATCCACTCTCAATACAAACCATCCTCCTCTATGCCAGGCGGTGGTGCTGTGTTTTTCTTTCCTTTACTTGTTTTGTTTTTGTTTTTTGTTTTTTGTTTTTTTGCATGGTTTTTTAAGTTAGTTAGGAC